AGAGCCCCGCTTCCATTACTAACGGGTGTCAGTCATTCCGTAAAACTAATCCTTGGTCTCAGGAGGGGGTATACCTCCTAGAAGGAAACGGAGGCCGGTGACTTGAGCGAAATTATGGGTTCCTCCCAAGCCCATTGTGCACGCGCCCCATGACAGCATCAGAAACGCAATCCATCTCTAGATTTCATAAGTCTCTGATTTCTAACGCAAGATTCTCATGGCATACACTCGGCCTAAGCTTCTTCAGGAAGTAGTTCGAAGGGACTTCGAACAGCGCATAAGCGATGAGGAACACCATAAGCGCAATCCTAGCACACGTCAGTACCTACGAATTAGCGTCCACTATTCGGACAAACCTACGTGTATTGATACGAGGTCATCTTAGTCTCGGACAGGAGGTCATTGTGCGTATCTTGGTTGAGGATCTTTGCATTTCCTATGCCGAGCAGGATGAGGACTGGCTGAGCAAGAGTTGGTTCTATGCTTACCAATGTTAGATCTATCCAGATAGCAGAGAAGATAGATCGCTGCACATAGAGGAACAATGCGTAAGTCTTGTTTCCAGACCAGTGCTTTCTCCTGAGGACTGCGGTATGATGCATCAGAATGCTGCTCGTCGATGTCCTTGTGGTTAACAATCAGCAATGACAGCTACACTCGAATTCGTATTCACTCCGCATACTTCAGACGCAATCTCAACATCGCGAGCATCTTCCACGCTGGGGTGGGGCTTCGGCTCGCTCATTTTCGCGGGTAGACAACGAAAAGCCGCGGGTAGAAATGAACAAGCTTTTGAGAAGCAATTCTTCTTTTGAGCGTATTTATAGTCTTGGGTGTGTCAGCACCTGTTGGAGCTCCCCCGCACAAGCGGGCTCCGCTGACTGGGGTAACTCCGTTCTGAAGAAAATATGATTCCACGATGTCGGTGAACCTCCGACAGTCATCACCGAAGATGGTTAACCACCTTTTAGGCAGGTAATAGATACAGTGTCAGTGATTGGTTGCTGTCATTACCGGAAAGGCCTTGGATCGGCCGGTGTGTCTCGGCATTGCCGTTGGCAGAGCGGACAATATTGCAGCCAGGAAAGGAAGATGAAGTCGTGTCAGCCTAGCATTGCAACTGAGCTTGGAAGCGATGTGATGCTTTTGTTGGAACGCGACTGATCTCTCGCAATCTCTCGACTTGGCCGTCCCTACAGCGCAGGTGGTCACTATGAAGATGCAGGCAGGGTATTACCCTTTGGTACTGACTCGATTCGCTTGAAGTGTGTGGTCAATTGGGCCACGTCAGGGGCCCTTTTTCAAGATCATGTGGGATACACAACCCAGATCACTAGAGGCCACTCTCAGTCGCTTTGTTTATCAGTCTTTTCTCTTTCTACTCTATTAGGATAATTTGGACCTTGTCAGTTGCACAGACTCACCAGTTGGCGCCAGAGGGCTCGACATCTACATAGTGCGGTAGACAACCTTGGACAAGCATAGCTCTCGAGTCGGCGTATCATGAAGAAGAATTGTTTCCTTGTCAATTCTTCTATCTTTGGACTCTGGCTGAGAAAACATAATACAGAATCCCACTGTATCTTTCCGAACAGAGAGGTATGCGAGAAAGCAAGCATCAATCTAATTGGTCAAGGGAAAAGCTTCGAAGTTTGCCCAGTTGGGTTAGCGCCAATCTTTATCTATCGATAATGATTGAATCGTGATTTTGTTGCATTTGTCTGCTGTTGTGCGTCAATTGTCTACCCTTCCTCTCTCAATGAAATGTCCTGCATTATATTCAAGCATTCATTTCTCCCATAACATTCTAAGAAGTATAAACAGTCGTACTTTGGCAAAACTATACTCCAATCCAGCTCTGCACACTTCCCAGATTGCAAACATGGCGACAGAAGCTACCCCTCCGCGCCGAAAGATGCCATCTGCATTGACTTTCGACCTACATAAAAAGTGCTCAGTAAGTTTTCTTACCCGTTATTTTTTCTGGTATATCTCAATTTTGAGCTAATCGGGACCAAACATAGACAACCAAAGCGCGCGCGAGCACCCTCCATCTCCCTCATGGCTCCGTCCCGCTTCCCATCTTTATGCCGGTTGCGACACAGGCGTCGCTCAAGGGACTCACGTATGACCAGCTGAAGCAAACAGGCTGCATGCTGTGCTTGAATAATACATACCATCTGGGCCTGAAACCGGGGCAGGAGGTTCTAGACCAAGTGGGCGGGGCGCATAAGATGCAAGGATGGGATCGGAATATCCTGACAGATAGCGGGGGGTGAGCTATGTCTGTGTTTTCCTCGGCCTGGGCTGACACTGACGCCTGCAATGTAGTTTTCAGATGGTTTCTCTACTGAAGCTCGCAAAGGTCACCGAGGAAGGTGTCCGATTCCTCAGTCCCCACGATGGAACCCCGATGTGTGTGTCCTTGCCGATTCGAAGTCTCAACGAATCCCACTAACCAGGGTCATTCTAGGCTACTCACACCAGAACATTCAATTTCTTTGCAGAACTCGATCGGCTCGGATATCATCATGCAGCTAGACGACGTCATTGCGACTACCTCTCCCGATCATGCCAGAATTCACGAGGCCATGGAACGGTCCGTTCGGTGGCTAGACCGCTGTATCGATGCGCACAAGTATCCCGAGAGACAGAACCTATTCTGTATCATCCAAGGCGGTCTAGACCTGGAGCTACGGAAGCAGTGCTGCGCTGAAATGGTTGCGCGAGATACACCGGGTATTGCCATTGGAGGTCTATCGGGTGGTGAAGCAAAGGAGGAGTTTTGTAAAGTGTATGTGTTGGCGTAAATGCGTACGGACTACATCGGCTGACAGTTATAGGGTGGATACGTGCACTGGACTCCTTCCAGAGCACAAACCCCGATACGTGATGGGAGTGGTAAGTATTAGCTTTGCCCCTCCGGTTGGCAGTCTCTTTTATTGACGCTGCTCAGGGTTATCCGGAAGATCTGGTTGTAGCAGTTGCCCTCGGTGCGGACATGTTCGATTGTGTGTGGCCGACGAGAACAGCCGTAAGGATAACCGCACGGAATCTTTTGAACGCAAATTCGACTGACCATTGATAGCGATTCGGAAATGCTGTGGTTCCTTCTGGCAACCTGAACCTACGCCATAAGTCGTTTGCCGAGGACTTCCGACCTATACAAGAAGGGTGCAGCTGTTCTTGTTGCCGGCCCAGAGATCAAGGCGGCTTGGGGATTACGCGAGCGTATCTCCACCACCTGGCTGCCAAAGAGACGGTTGGAGCTCATCTGTGAGACTTCCCTTCACGTTCGAGGGATGCTATTGCTAATTTCTCAACAGGCTCACCATTCATAATGTTCACTACTTGCTTTCCCTGATGGGATCCGCTCGCCAAGCCATTTTGGAAGATCGATATCCAGCATTTCTGCGCGAGTTTTTCGACAATCTGTATGGGGATAAAGCGAAATTCCCTGAGTGGGCTGTCACTGCGCTGCGTGGTGTTGGTGTTGATCTGCTGGCAGACTAGCATGCTTGCCGTTAGAGCGTCTTTATCTACATCACATAATCTCAAGACGGGTGTCGAGCATCATTCAACACCCTGGTACAACTGCCAGACCTCTAGAGTAATATTGCCGACTTAGGAATCGAATGTAATTTTAGCCTGGTAATCTGCTTATCACCACGTGATCTCGCGCGTCGCGTTCACGCGTTACTCAAAAAGTCCTCCACAAGCAATACCGACGAAACATCTCAATCACCATGACAATTCAATCCAAGAAGCAAACAAGCATCATGTCGCCGGCAGCCGTGATGCTGCAAGATACCCCCAGCCAAACTGGCACACCGAGTCCTCCTCATAACCCCGCACACGAGGAACATCAATACCTCAACCTCATCCGCACCATCCTCTCCGAAGGCGAGCATCGTCCCGACCGCACAGGGACAGGCACTCGCTCGATCTTCGCACCACCGCAACTACGCTTCTCGCTCTCCAAGCCTGGCGCAACACCCTCCTCGGACCCGATCCCCGTCCTCCCCCTCCTCACCACCAAACGCGTTTTCCTGCGCGCCGTCATCGCCGAGCTCCTCTGGTTCATCTCCGGATGCACCTCCTCCATCCCTCTCTCGGAAGCAGGCATCAAAATCTGGGACGGTAACGGCAGCCGCGAGTTCCTGGACAAAGTCGGGCTCGGACACCGCGAGGTCGGCGATCTAGGCCCTGTGTATGGATTCCAGTGGCGGCATTTCGGGGCGGAGTACATCGACGCCAAGACGGATTACACGGGCCAGGGCGTCGACCAGCTCGCGGAGGTCGTGCGCAAGCTGAAAGAAACGCCCTTTGACCGCCGTATTATCATGAGTGCGTGGAACCCGGCGGATCTGAAGAAGATGGCGCTCCCGCCTTGTCATATGTTTGCGCAGTTCTATGTCTCGTATCCGAATGGGCTGGACAACAAGGGAAGTCTATCGTGTCTGCTGTATCAACGTTCGTGCGATATGGGTCTCGGAGTGCCGTTCAACATTGCGTCGTATGCGCTGCTGACGCATATACTGGCCCATGTGACGGATCTGAACCCCGGCACTCTGATTCATACCATGGGTGATGCACACGTGTATCTGGACCATGTCGACGCGCTGAATGAGCAGCTTAAGCGGGAGCCTACAGAGTTTCCGGAACTGCGCATCAAGCGTGATGATCGTGGTAGTGGAGTTGTGGATGGTTGGAAGGAGGAGGAGTTTGAAGTCGTTGGATACCAGCCTCACAAGGCTATCAAGATGAACATGAGCGTTTGACCTCGTACAGGTTTTATACAGTTGATACCAGCATTTCTTATATTAGATTCTTGATTTCAATAAAGGCACCTCTGTGCATGCATTAAGAACGATCTAATAGTCGGAGCTCAGGGAAATATGTAAAAAGGTATCCAAAACGCTCTTGGTGTATCATATGCTAAATATGCAGTTCCAGATGGCAGAATATCCAGAGGAAAGAAAAACGCAGCGGATCACTCCTCACGACTTCCCCAGAATAACTCCCGCCCCTCTCAACAAGACAATAGTATGACCCTGCTTCACCTTCCCACCCCCGATCGTCTCCGAGAACTCCAAAAACTCCCCCGAATCCACATGGAAGATCCGCAACCGCTCCTCCTCCCCGGCCCGATTATTCACATTCTCAATCCGCAACCTCCGCGCCGCATCATCCAGCACCCGCCCAACCTTCCACCTCGAATCGAACCAAAAGTCCCCCGAAGGCGGCTCCGCCTTCTGCGCCTGCGCATCCGCCGTCCCAACCACATGCAGATACAGCCGCTTGTCAGCGGGGACGCTGGCATCGCCCTTGGCTGCCTTCTTGAGTGCATTCAGCTCCGAAATCCGCGCAGCCGCGCTATTGGCCTTGGGCTTCGGCGCCAGCGCCTGTCCCTTGTCTTTTCCCCATGTGCGCACCCGCGCGAACATCGAGCGGATCGTCTCGGCATTGCTTGGGCCCTGGTTGCCTGCCCGAGCGCCAAGCGGCGCGATCTTCGCGCACTCGTGCTCTTCCCGGAGCCGGTGGCGCAGACAATACTGTCTATTACAGTTTGGGCAGCGCACGCCGGGATCTTTCAGCGTGTTGATGAGTGTCTTGCAGTCGAGATGGGCGCATTGGTCTGAGTTGTAGATTGTGGGTTTCTGCGTGGGAAGGCTCGCGGTGCTGGTGTTCTGGTTTCCGTTGCGGCGGCGGGCCCATTCGCCGGCTTTGGGGCAGCGGTGGGCGGTTTCGGTGCGGTGGTCGAGGCAGAAGGTTCCGCGGCAGGATTCACAGCGGAAAGGGAGGAAGTCGAGTTGGTGGCAGTATTCGAATTGGCAGTGTCGGCCGATGGACTCTAGGTCCTTATCGGCCATTTGCGTGAAGGATTCTTGGGCGTTCGGGCTGGGTGTCCGGCCTTTGGAGACGGTTACGGGTGACATGGTGGGAATCACCTTTCAAAGCAGAATTAAATGAACGGAAAAAGAACAACGAGGGCGTCTTGATTATATCTGAATATAGAGAGAAAGGATGAATAATGCGCAACAAGAGATGGCGCTAGAAGCCACTGGCAACATGCGGAGAGGAGTGCCTGACTCAGCAGTCTCAGCACGACTAGTTAAATGAGGCGTAGCAAGCGGAGAAGAAGGTTCCAATGTGGCTGTGGCGCTGATTATCTGATCCGGAGATCGGAGATAAGCAAAGCACATCTTCTGTACGGATACCTCTCTGTAGACGCCGACACAGGTACTTGACTTGATAATGATACATAAAGAAGATAATCTGTTAAATTCAAACCATACTTATGAGGCATTCTTAGCATCACGGTGAAGAGACAAGGCTGGTTAAGAGCCAAACTAACGAACTCCGTACAACTCAGGGGTATATTCAAACATGACGGACTAAATCGACAAAAGAAGAACATATTGGATAACATGAAAGAAGGCAAAGTTGGCGCATGAAGTCAGGGGCGGGAACAGAAGGAAAGGCATTCAAAGATCGAAATGAATCAGGGTTGTTCGGGTTTATTGTTTTGATCATGCATAAGATCTGGATGACCAGTCCCTGCATTATCACTGTGGTTGAAAAGGTTTGGCTGCTGCATGGCCAGAGTCTGCTTCCCCCCAAGGACGGTGCTTGCCGCCGCAAAAGGAATAGGTCCGCTGGACGTAAAAACGGGAAGTCCATTCATTGTCTGACGCGCGGTTGTTGGGGGTGAGTATACCGTATATCGAGCGGGGAGGGATTCTGAAGCCAACGAGGACGGGGTTGCTGTCCCAGAAGGAGGCTCCTGCGTCGAGGTAGAACCAGATACTGACACATCCTTGGGTCTTTCCCAGCGAGGGCGATCAATAGTGACGTTGCTCAAGAGCGGCATTTTATTTTCAGCCAGCGGATCAGGAGACGAGACAACAAGCTCATCTGGTGCGTTTTCTGGGCTCTCTTGCTTCATCCGAATCATGTTCCTGTCGGAGTTGGCTATATTTGGACCAGAAGGCATCTGAGAGATGCTAGAACTCGGCGACGGGTGAGAAGTTCGTCTGGCAGTCGAAGTATGCGCGGTCGCGGTGACGCTTGAGGTTTTCTTGGAGGATCTCGGCGTCTTGGATGTTGTTGGCCTGGGAGCGCGTCTTTGACGTTCCTCTGTCGCTCTTCTCTCTTTCTCGCGAGCGGCGTGTTCTTCAGGGGTAGGGACCTTCAATTTGATGCTCAATTTCTTCACGCCGGCTGCCAAATCGTCCAAATCTGCAGGTCTGGAATCCGTCTTCTCCGTCATTCCTGCCTGTGTTTGGTCGGAGATAATCTTCTGATCATCGCCAGTGGCTGGCTTTGAGAGAAAACCAGACGGCACGCGCGGTACAGGAGGCACCTTGGGACCCTCGGACCGTTTGGGAGCAGCGGACCGTGATGGAGTGCTCGACCTGCTGCGGCTAGGAGACTCCGGAGGACAGCTACCCACGGCTATGCTTGCTTGTCCGGGCGTTTCGCTTGCCCCGACGTTTAACGAGCTTGAATTGATTCGGCCAGACTCGGCTGTACCCGAAGGCTTAGAAGCGATCGGCGTTGTGCTCTTTCTCCGAGTTGTCCTGACGCCAGGCGAGCTATCAGCAGTTGAACTTGGCAGGTCACCGGGGTCGATAGTAGTCCTCCGAGTGCTCTTCGTAACCTTTTTCTTTGGGGTCTCCGCCTTGGGGCTGCTAGGCAGTGAAGCCTTGGCCTTTCTCGTACGTAGCTGCATCCGATTTCCCTCCGGTGCCGCTGAAGCTGCTGACGCTGCCTTCTGGGCGGCCTGGGCAGCAGCCACAGCGGTCTGACGCTCCCGCCGAATGCGTGAAGCTTCCGCATTAAGTTCTTCCGGACGATAACTTGTGGTTTGACGATGGGTGGGAATAAGGATTTTGGATAGTTCGTGTGCCGCCGTAGCCCAGCCTACCTCTGGCAAGGGTACAACATCCGAGCCCGCCTGTGAGCCAGTAGACTTTCGATCCCGAGGGGCAGCAACGACTTTGGCAGCGAAAGATTGCGTTGGTGCAAAATAGGTGCGAGCAGACTTTGATTTTGGCGCTGTGGAAGGAGGTGGATAGACAAGCGCCTCCAGTTCGTCGAGTTTTGTTGGCGCCCACCACTGACTATCATAACCAATGTCAGATGGGATGCGCCGTGCTTCAGCTGGAGTGTCGCTGTCCGATACATGCAAGCGATCAAACATTTCGGAAGCCAGACCGACCTGCTGCTCATGGTTGACGATGGCCGACATTGTCGTTGTGTCTCCCAGCGCTGCGAGATGACTGAGGACGCCGCTGGTCAATGCTCGATTACTATAGCCCCCTTCCAAGACGCTGATGACACGCCCATCTACTCCTAGCCCTTCTTCCTCAGCCATCTGCACAACATCCGCGGTAAACTTCGCATAGAACTCGGTCGGTACATTCACTTGATGTCTCTGCATACCAGAACCTTCCCACTCACTCGCGTCAAATCCTGCGGATATGAAGATTGCCGCTTTTGGCGGAGTGTCGCCGGGCGCGCTATCAAGCAGGCGTTCGGTGTGCAGACGTAGAAAAGCGCGCGCTTTCTCTAACAGTACGGTGTATTTGGCGGCATAGATTTCCCAGAACTCCGCATCGGACTTCCACGTCTCCAAGTGGATATTCCAAATCGACTGACCGTGGGCTTTATCAATACACACACTAGCGTTCCGCACCTTCTCAAAATCACCATATTCGCAAGGGAATGAGTTTATGTCATGCAAGCTGAAGTAGCCAACCCTCGTTTTCTTGTGATTGGCCGCATTCCAGACCGCTGACACGGCTTTCTGATTCTGTTCCCATGCAATATCTTGCGAACCGTCGCCATGATGCAAGTCGAAGTCCAGGATAGCGGCATGGGTCAGGCCGTGGGTCATGGCAGCATAGGTTATTCCCACATGTACATTGTTGATCCAGCAGAATCCGGACGGATGAGAGGTAGAGCAATGGTGGCCAGGGGGCCGAATACAAACAAAGGCTCTTTTGGTAGTGTTGGAGTTGAAGACGACATCGACGCCTTCACAGACTCCGCCGAGCGCACCCTCAAAGGCATTCAAGGATTCGGAGCAAAGGTAAAGGTCGCCGTCATTGAGCGGAGCTTTTTTGGCAGATTCGCCGTCCTTTCCCGAGCTGCGCGGCCGAACCAACTCTTTGCCATTCAGAGCAAGTCTTGATTCTGCCGCATCACACATGGTTTTCAGTTCGTCCATCCACTTGGTCCCGTGGACATGAGTAACAGCCGCAGAAGTGATAGGCAGAGTCCGCAACGTCTTGCGGATTTGGAACGGCGGCGCGGGGAGCTGATGTAGATCTAGGTCAGGATGAGGCGCAAAGCGTTTCCCTGCATGGCGGCCGGCCATGAGGACATAAGCTGCGGATATTCCCACAACGCAGGCTTGTATCCTCTCGGGCCGTTCGACGATGTAACTTAGGGCGGTCTTCGATGTTCGTGGCCGCGAGAAACGATGGCCGTAGCATGCGTCATGAACGATTACCGCGACTTTAGAACGTAGGTCGGTGGATTGGTGTAAGTCGACTTCTCGTTGGAAGAAATCAGCGGCAACAGAGGCGGCGGTGGGCGCAGCTTGCTCCTGGGGTCTTTTGGACGGCATATTTGATGTGGAAGTGGGGGAAGTCGTGAAGTTGGAGGATGAAGAGCGTCGCGATAGACTGGGACGAGGCGAATTTGCGCCGGCACTATTGTGGGCAGATCGGAGCGACGCGGTCGATGATCGCTTCTTCAGGCTGGAGGTGGATTTCCGTCGTTCATCTCGTTCATCTCTTAGAGAATTGGAACTGTCAGTTCGGCGCGGTGCAGGATGCGCCAGATCAACAGAAGAACGCGCGGGGACATCTGGAGGCGACAGTAACGAAGATGGGGATGGAGAGGCTGGAAGAGGAGTCGCGGCCGCAGAAGCAATTGTCAAATGATTCAGACTATTGGTTAGATCGTTGGGATTGGGTGCGGGTGGTGGTGGTGGTGGTGCAGTGAATGTCGCCTGAGGAGGCTCGTCGCGCATGGAGGGGTCCATGATGGCAATAGAAGTGGCATTTGAACGTCAATCAAATGCTGAGACAGAAACTGCGACTGTGACGCGTTACTTTTGAGCGAAAGACGAGATACAAATGAATTGTATTACAGTTATCTGAAGCAGTTTAGTAGATAGGAGGTCGAAAGGAGAGAAGCGAGGGGGGAACAAGGAGAAAAAACGAGCCATCGTCATTCTTCCCCCTCATCCAGCCAAGGGGCAGTCGATCCCTTCCACTCCCCTTCTTCGGCGCCCTTTTTCTTTCATTATCATTGGGTTGTCGTTAAGTATGACGCGGATCAAACGATGATAACAGTGGAATGTTTCATCGTAAGAAAACTCAGAGTATTCCTCAAGGTCGAAAAGTCAAGTTCAGTGGTTATTTTGTTCTGATCAGAGATACAGAAGAGATCTTTCGAACACATGCCGAACGAGTCGCATAGATGAAGTTGCGCTGTGGATATAATAAAATTGAATCAATGGAATCTCGAGGTTTGCTCTATGGATCGTGATATGCATCTAAATGATATAGAAGAAGAGGGAGACAATGATATCATCACTTTTCCCAAAAGAGGAACGCCATTCCCAGCCCTCCAGAACACCACAAGCTTCTTTTGAGCTCCCCAAAAACACCGATCCCAAATCATAATGCATTAACATGACTGGCATCAATCCAGAAAGTCCGTCATGAATAGGGGAGATCCAAAGTCAGAAGGTTCGCGATCGCAGTCCGCGGAATTGGTACCACTTTCTCGATAACGCTGAGGTCTTCTCTTCGAGTGAACTGTCCGTCGAGCCAACCTCGGAGTTGCGCTCAGACTTCTTCGTCTTCTTCTCGGACTTGAAGCCTTTAGTGGCGTGGTGGTGGCAGAAGCATTGCATATGTACCGTTTCGATGCTGACACCCTGACAGCCATTGCGCTTGCGAGCTGCGCAGAGACTCTGGCCTGAGTCTTCTGCGCATTGGCACCAGGCGTACTGGGTATAGTACTGCCGACACATGATGATTCAGTGTTTATGGACACTATATGACCTCTTCGTGGTCTCGGTGCGTGACGATTTCGCGCAGGTGAAAATTGGAGTTGTGATGGGTCGGTTCCGCGGACTTCCGATATGTTATCAGGTCAGACCAACGAGGCAAGCCAGTCGCCAGTGATGATGTTGTCTTCAATATGAATTCAGCTGTATAGGTCTGATGCGCGGTGCAATCTCAGATCATAAGGGTCGCGGCTCGTTGGTGATTGCAATGGCTGATGGTTAGAAATCTGCCATAGAATGCTCTCTTTGTCTGCTGCGAGAGCCTCAGCTCGGAGTATCCGATTATTGACAGTCCAGCGGATATTTGTGACAAAGAGAGCACATAAAAGAATGCGGCAAGGTGAATTGGGTTTTAATATATAGGTCCGGACGTCAATGTAGTCATGTAGGTTAAGGTTACAGAGATTTCAGATACGAATGGGAGCAGCAATAATCTAGGGTCCAGCCTAGATCTTCCAGAGAAAAAAGGTTGCAGTGACAACGATAATGACGATGGCAGTGGTGATGTGATAATATAAGTGCAACAGAATGTAACTGACGTCAATATACAATGAAGAAGTGCCGGTGAAACAGTAGAGTAGCACTTTCGGATGGTTATGACTCTGTACATTTTGGCTCCTCTAATACCTCCAGATCTACGGAGTACTTAATATTCAAATCCTTTACTGTACGATTTTTGTATCTATTAATATTTCCCCCCAAGCATTGAAGGCTTACTGGCTTATCAATGGTCCAATCGCCTTTTCTTCCAGGGCGAGACTCCCGGTGGGCGGCTGATTTAGGCGCCTGCATTTCGACAGATGAAGATGGGACTACCTTACTGTTCTGATTGACTTTAAATTTTTATTCCCTCTTTTGCCCTGGTCGAAGGCACCCGAACGGCCATTCATCGTGAACAATGAATGGACATCGGCCAACTGCGCCTCATGCCGAGTAGTATTGTAATCCTTGGTTGTCAGCAGGCGGGTGAAAGGATCACCGTCAAAGAAACAAACAATATTTGTCTCAGTTTGAGTCTTTGACATGAATAATGAAAATGAGGCATACGGAAGTGTAGCCAGTCAGCCAGAGAATTGATCTAGGATGGGGAACGAATGGAGCCCGCGAAATTGGATGGGACTGTTTCGCTCCATCTGCTGTGGGTTTGCCGGACCACTTCGGCGTCAGAGGATGCAGATACGTAGTAGACTCATACCTCGTCTCCTCATAGTCTGGTACGGAGTACACAGTTGTATTCCACTGCAAATCTGCACTAGCGAGGTCACGCCAGTCCGCCAGATTCCGCCCAGACTCCGACATCCGAGTGATCATCATCGGTACTAATGAAAAGAGTCATGACGATGACGATCAGTTCAAGAATTCTGGACCTGCAGGACTTCGCCGGAAGCGGAACTGCTCAGTTTCCCCGGACAGTATCACGCTAGTACCCATAAGGCTTAGCGGCAGGTGTCTGACACCGAACCGTCAGGTTACTGCGTATCACGTGGCTACCTTGTAAGGCAGGCGTCTCTAACCAACTTTGGCTTAGTGTACTGCTGGTGTAGTTGGATGACTGAGGCACACTGTCCATCTGCATCGACCGATCCTCGTATATCAACGCAAATTCATCACTGCTACCTGGCAGTTGTCACCACTGTAAGCAGGATTTTCTTAATCCTTTACAGACCTAATCAACTTCAGTCCTTAACCAGCACTGCGCAACCACACCTACCGCACATTAAAGAGCTGATGCAAGACTACCTCCAATGACTTCCACCGAACAACAACAAGAACAACCCTCCCCAACATCAACAACAATCATGCCCGCCTCACCCTCCCGAACAGCAACTCTCCTCGCGAACCTCTCATCTGTAACCTCGCGCGTCAGCACCGCCGCCCTGAACGCCAACCGCCCCGCCACAAAACCCATCCGCCTCATCGCCGTATCAAAACTCAAGCCCGCAGCCGATATCCTCGCCCTCCACAACCCGCCCACGAACCACCTCCACTTCGGCGAAAACTACCTCCAGGAACTCCTCGAGAAATCCAAGCTCCTCCCGCCAAGTATCCGCTGGCACTTCATCGGCGGACTGCAGTCGAACAAGTGCGTCACGCTCGCGCGGGACGTCCGCGGGCTCTGGGCCGTCGAGTCCATCGACAGCGAGAAGAAGGCCTCGCTGCTGGATAGAGGGTGGGGGGAGCGGTCTGAGGAAGTCCGTGGCGTTGCGCACGAGGACCGGCTGCGTGTGCTTGTGCAGGTGAACACCTCCGGCGAGGAGAACAAGGCCGGGGTGGACCCCGTGGCTGGGGCGGTGCCGCTTGCGCGGTTCATCCGGGAGAAGTGTCCGCGGTTGAAGCTGCAGGGCGTGATGACTATCGGGGCGATTGCGCGATCTAAGGCTACGACGCCGGAGACGGAGAATGAGGATTTTGTGTGTTTGCGGGAGACGCGGGATCGCATCGTTAGGGAGCTGGGGCTGCAGGGTGATGATGCCGAGCTGGAGCTGAGTATGGGCATGAGTGAGGACTTTGAGGGCGCGATCAAGCTGGGGAGTGATGAGGTTCGTGTCGGGACGACGATTTTCGGGGAGCGGCCGCCCAAGTCCGAGGCAAAGGTGGTGTAGATGATGTGGGGAGAAGGGTGACGATTTACGATATTTGCATTACTACGGGCGTTGCATCAGAGGAGGACGACTTGACTACCGGCCAGCCCTGCCGCCATGGCCGGTGGAGATTTGCAAAGATAATTAGGATGTTGTACGGCTTGATTACTGCTCAAAGCCACGGGATATATGTACCTTGTTAGCATCAATAATTACATCAAAAGGTAATCAATCTCGCCTTTGGAGAGGACTCCGAAACGAGACTATTATTAGTCAGTCATAAAGACCATCATCTTGCCAGCTACCAGTTCATCGTAGGTCATCCCATCTCTTCACCGTGAGCCGAACATCTCATCAGATGCGCCTTGCGCCAGTTTCTGCTCCATTTGTTTCGCTAGTGCTTGCGGCACGGCTTCTTGCGTGGCCCGAATGGTGACCCGGAACATCTGCAAAATCGACATCAGTAAAGTGTGGGGAACTCATTCTGAGAAAAGCCTTACCTTGCGTTCATAGTTGGGCTCCAGCCGGAGAAGGCATCCAGTCTTTCCGCCATGGAACTGGTACACAGCACATCCGACGATGTTATTGGGATTGGGATCCACATTCTCCAGGATCCTCCAGTGGAACCCTTCCACAAGGCGGCGTGTAAAGGCCTCACTGACATTTTTCGCCTTGGCAGTGACGCCGAACGTGTGCTGCGCCTCGAGTGGGGGACCGCCAATCTGCCTCCACCGCTTGAAGAACTCTTCCGCTGACAGAGTCGACGGCTCCATGTAGCGGTGCATCAGCACGGGGAGTTGTAGGGTGTAAGCCTGAAGCGCTCCAGCAAGGTACGAGATTCGGATGGTGGGCGCTTCACTAAACGGCCCGTGAGCCTCAACCAATAGCGTCTGCTGGGTTTGGCCTGCGGCCGGAACAGAAGGCTCTGGGAGACTCTTGCTATCAATCTTCAGGTTTGGCGCCGCAGGGTTGTCCAGCGTAGTCGTCAGAGATCCAATCGCGAATGAAGATTTGTTCGAGATGTAGATCTTCACGACGCCCATGTGGCCACGATACTCGGACCGCAAGCCAACCTGGATTTGCGCATCCTCGAAGAGCACGCCTTCATCCACAAAGTACAATCTATTGTACCCTGGTTCCCAGTCAGGCGTAAGATGAGCTGCACTGGCCATATTCGGCGGGGGCGCAGATGGAGCGCTGAGATCAAGACCGGCCAGGTCGCCAGAGGCGTTTGACGTCGCTGCCGACCCGTTGGCTCCGGTTTTGGTACCATTGACAATAGTGGTAAATGTACGCTTGAGTCCTGTGTTCTGTGCTAGGAGAACTTCTTTCTTGTCCGCGTTAGCATCCTTGCCACCCACGACCCAAGTCTTCTTCTCGGTC